TTTAAAAAAATGATCAAAATGCCATTGTATTTGACGTCATTTCAACGATTTTGTTGATTTAAGATTAAAAATGGTCATGTAAAAATAATAATAATAGGATCAAATGTAGAAATTGTGTATTTTTGGACTCGGGTTCACAAAGTAATTTGCCCGTATATGAATATGACTATTTTGGCTTTTCCTAGAAAGAGCAAGCTTTCTTCCGACCTGTTTACTAACAGAAACTGTTCTCTGTTTTCTGTTTTCTAATTTTACAGTTTTCATTCCCTATTTTCTATTTAGAAAACTTGTTTACTAACACTTATTTTGTTCAAATTTATTTTTTTAGATTAACGTTATAAAATTAACACAAATTTAATTTTGAGTGATTTTTCGACCTTATATTTAAAATATCTTAAGATATGTTTGGTTTAAATGGAATAAATATAAGTTTTAAATTTAAGTATAATATATGTACGATCTTTATATTTGATATCCAAACCAAATTTATATATGTGCACAACATAACTAAAAATATATTCAAACCAATAACTTATTAAGTTCACCTAAAATTAGTTTAGATAATATTAATATTTTTTGAGCTAATATTTAAAATATTTTTTTAATATATTCATTTGAATGGCATGTAAATATATATATATATATATATATATATATATATATATATATATATATATATATATATATATATATATAATTTTTACTTTGAATTCCAATATATATTTGAAATTTCAATATCTAATATCCGGACCAAACTTGAATTACAATATAACATAACTATAAATATCTGATTAATAATCAATTGAGTTCAATCAAAATCTAAACCTTTGTATATCGTTCAATTTTTAATTTTGATAATGTGAATAATATCTAACTTTAAGCGTAAGCAAATAAGTTATCTTTAAATAGGTAATGCAAGTAGAAAAGATAGAAGATGATGATGATAAGTAAAGAAGATGATAATGAATGTAATCATAGTAATAAATAAATATGTAAGTAGATAATGACGAGAATGTGGTTATTGTGCCATATAGCGAAATAGATGATAGATGATTCTGTTTTTCATTTAGAAAACAGTTTTTAAAAATTTTTCAATTTTCTAGAAAACTGGAAATTGTTTCATGTTTTCATAATGAAAAACTATGTCAGTAAACATGTTTTCTATTTATTATTTTTCCAATTTTCCTATTTTCTAAAAAATTGAGAAATTTTTCAATTAGTAAACGGCCCCACATATTCTATGATGACTATTATTAAATTGTTTTATGGTTTGGATGTGTACTCACATGCTCCAGATAAGATTAATTAATAAAAAACTATATATCAATTATTTAATCTGCAGTAATATAACTATTCCAACTTGTATATGAATAGGACACTTTTTGCTCTTTCTAGAAAGAACATTTCTAATATGTTTTTTGAATTGGTCTGCAGGTGTGCTCACTGCTCACATGCTCCAGATAAGATTAATAAATTAAAAAAAAAAAAAATATATATATATATATATATATATATATATATATATATATATATATATATATATATATATATATCAATAATATAAAACTGCAGTAATCTATTTCCAACTTGAGCATTATAATAACTTTTCAAACTTGTTTATGAATAGGTTTCAAAATAAAATAATAAAAAAAATAGGTTTCAAAATTTATTAAAAAAATAAATAAATAAAATAATTTGTATATGAAAAAAAAAAAAAAAAAAAAAAAAAAAAGGACTCTTTTGGCTTTTCCTAGAAAGAGGCAAATAGCATTCATTCTTAGCATTCTCTCTTTATTATTCTTAGCTTTTTTATAGTATATCTTTTGGTATGCAGGTTTAACTCACATGTTTATATATATATATATATATATATATAGGATCATATGAGAACACTTGCATCTTTCTTTTGCTTTTACCTTTTTTCCTTTTGTTTCTTTATTTGTTCTCTTTTTCTTTCTTCACTTAAGCACCTTTATTCTCTAACCATCAGCATCTTTTCTCCACTTTAGCTTTTTTTTTTTTTTTTGAATGCTTCTCCACTTTAGCTTGTTTCTTTTATTCCACTACCAACTTTTTTTTATTGACTATTCCAAAGCCATTCATCGTTGCCAGGGATCCATTATCTCTTTTTGTTTTTGTCAATTGGAGTTGGATGGCAGACAAAGGTGAGTGGAATAAATAATGTTGTCCCATGCTTGATATGATAAAAATTCCTCTCTTAAATTGTTAGGCATATATTTAGAGTGAAAGTTGTTGGATTTAATTACTTGGGGTGGACCCGAATCACTAAACCCGATAAACAACGTATTATAAAAATAGATAAATAGATGAAACGAGGGCGTAACCGCAGAGACCGTATATTATATTACAATAATAGGCAGGCTATTACAATGAGTAGTTAGGACAATAGTTGTGAAGATGTCTTAATTGGACAAAGGAGGGGCCTTTTATACCAGCCATGGACCTCCTAACTGCCCACCTATATCAAGAGAACGGTTGTCTCCCGTTTTGACTGTGCCTGGTCCAGAGACCGGAGGCCGGCTACCGAGGTCTCATGCCGAGGTGTCCACCGAGGCATCTTGCTGAGGTGGACGGATTGGGCACGTAACATCACCCCGGGCCCCGTTCTTGCTCCGTACTCTCGGATCGGTTCAGATCGACCTATAATATATCCATCAAAAGTAATAAATTCGAAGCCATTTAACCAAGCAGTACCAAATTAAGACTTATAAGTTCATTGTCCTCTTGTAGGGTTAAATGCGCTAAAAACTAATTTAACTTGGTAAACCACAATATTACAAGTTGGACTTCCAACATAAGTAGTATATTGATTTTTAAGTTTGAGTCGATCAGTTATGGACAACGTAGGTTGGTTTACCTTATTGTAATTCTTTGCCAGCTAGAATTACACAAATTATGCTGTGCAACCGAATGCACCTTGCAAGGTGCATACGGTTGCAAAACGGCGTCGTTTTGGTAAAAAAAAAAAAAAACGCGGGTCCCACTTAAAGAAGAAATCAGGTTCGATTCCCGGCAATAGCATTTTTATATATCCAGAAATTCATAACTATATAACCACAATTTCATAACTATATATCCACAATTTCATAACTATATATCCACAGTGAATGAATGAAGTAAAAATCCACAATGAATGAATGAATGAAGTAAAAATCCACAATGAATGAACTAAATATCCACAATATATGATTGAACTAAATATCCACAATGAATGAACTAAATATCCATAAATTCATAACTATATAACCACAATTTCATAACTATATATCCACAATTTCATAACTATATATCCACAGTGAATGAATGAAGTAAAAATCCACAATGAATGAATGAATGAAGTAAAAATCCACAATGAATGAATGAATGAAGTAAAAATCCACAATGAATGAACTAAATATCCACAATATATGATTGAACTAAATATCCACAATGAATGAACTAAATATCCATAAATTCATAACTATATATCCACAAATTTATAACTATATATCCAGAAATTCATAACTATATATCCACAATAATGCTATTGCTGAGAATTGAACCTGATTTTTTTTTTTTAAAGTGGGACGCGCGTTTTTAGTCAAAACGACGTCGTTTTGAACCGTATGCACCATGCGCATGATACATTCGGTTGCACAGCATAACTATTGCTAGAATTACAAGACAAGATTTACTTAATACAGACCCGTAGATGTATTTTTCCCTCCTCACTATAACCACCCGTGAAAGCTTAATTTTATTATGCGTAGCAACTAACGTGACATTTTAAATAAGACTTGATTCCCTCCCAACAATTTTATATTCATTAAATGCTTTTGAATAAATTGATTCCAATCCGAGAGATATAATTATGTGATAAAATATTTGATTAAAATTTGTTATTCATCCCACTACTCATTATAAAAGGGACCTTTCATCATTTAACATATCTCCACAATTGAGTAGTTAGCAAGAAGAGTAATCAAATTAGTTATCCCACATTCTTCTCCTCGTTAATTAATGGCTATGGAAACTGCCATTCATACACCGGAAGTGCTTGGCTGGGCGGCTCACGATGCTACCGGAAAGTTATCACCGTTTATATTCACGCGAAGGTACATTATAATTTGAAAAATGCTATTTATCCCTCTAAAATTTTTCTTAATATTTCACTCTCATGATGTGGCTTAGCTTGTATTATGAATTGGCTGACACTACATATTTTTTAATTAAATATTATATAATTTAATTAGATGTTGTCACATTAGAAGGGAAAATTAGAAGAGAAAATTTTAGGAGGAATCTCTAGCATTACTCTTATAATTTTACTTGGTACTGTAAGACATGCTTTTATGGTAGTATTTTTTCTCAATAGTCAATACTAATAGTCAAAATATATTTTTCTTTTTGAAAGACTTACATTTTTTTTACAATGTAGTATCTATTATACACTTTTTTTAATCTTTTTCAGCCCATTTTAAATTTGATTGTTAATAAAATGTCCATTTGAGGCGGCTAGAGAAATATTCACATTAACACCACAACTACTATTTGTTCACCTTTTTCTCTTCTTAAACTTAAAAGTATAATATTATTTATTTGTAAAATTTATAATTTTAAATAGCATGCTACTATTTTCTTTACTAGTGAAGTGTCTATCTGCACTTTCGTCTAACTTCTTTTTCTTCAATAATGGATATGTCTAGGGAAAATGGTGTCAACGATGTGACTATCAAGATCATGTATTGCGGAATGTGCCGAGGTGATGTTCAATTTGCCAAAAATGATTTTGGAAACACCACGTATCCTATTGTGCCTGGGTAATTACATTACATCCCATAATAAGTCTACAAAACAAAAACTGCTTATTTATATCTGTTTTTTACTTTAATATAGGTCCGCAAAATATCATAATTAGGGAAAAAAAAAAGGTGTTTGGAGTGTTTGGTAAATAGTGTTAACCGATAGATCTTAGTTGATTGGATTAGTAACTTCTTGGCCAGCGTTTCCAGCTTTGTCCGGATATCAGGAGGGGAACATTTTGACGTGAAAAGAGATCCAGAATTCCGGCGGGTTTTGAAAAGGCCCGACAAGTCAAACCCGGAAGCCATGGAGGAGATTAGCTCGATCGCGTTGAAGAACGGCGGGATGATTTGGGTGTTATTTGAGAATCCGATTCCTTAATCTCCTCCTCATCTTGAATTGGAAATTTAAATCCCTTTAGAAACTAGGGGCTCTCATGATCGCCATAATCTTGACAAGGGGAAAAATCTCCAAATTTGTCAACGCTCCTCGCTGTTGGAATACCTTGCGTAGCTGCAAATGTCGGAGGTGAGTGTTGAGGGTTGATTTCGTGAGACAAAGCAGTGAGGATGAAGCGTGAATCTGAGCTAGACATAAGGGTCACCAAGGTTTCGGTTCCGCAGGTTCCGGTTTTTTGGATGGCGAAATCGGAACCAGAACCTTATATTAAGGTTCCGGTTCCGATTCTAACCGTTTTTATTTATTTATTTATTTATTTTAGTGCGGCAGTCCGTGGTATGCTGCAGGCTGCGGTTTTTATTTATTTATTCATTTTTCCGGTTAGGAACCGGAATCGTCTGTTCCGAATCGGAATCGGCGGTTCCGGTTCCTTTAATAGGTAAACCTTGGTTAGGAACCGGAATCGAAACTGTACGGATGGTTCCGGTTCAGTTTCGATTAGCACAGTAACGATTACTGTTCGAATCTTCGGTTCGAACCAAATCGTGGTAACCCCTAGGTAGATATAGGATCAAACAATTAAATAAGAAACAAAATGGGTATTATCAAGTGAAATTCCATAATTGCCCTCTAAGTTAACGGAAATCAAAAGTTTGATCGAATGGAGGATCAAAATGGTTAACTTTTTCAAAGTCGAGGACTTAATTGGGGAAGAAAAATTGTCGAGGATCAAAATTGGTAATTTCGTAATAATCGAGGGATCATTTTGATAATTTACTCTTAATTAATCTATTCGATTGTTTTACCAAGTCAAACAGGTAATAGTTGTCAAATAAGTCAAAAATTAATTAATAAGCTAACTAAGTTACCAATCAGGACCAGGACTATGTGGTTCAATGGTATCCGGGTTGGACTTCCATTTGAAAGGTTGTGAGTTTGAATCTCAGCGGAGACGTTACAGATACTACAATGTAATAGAGCTGGACAGCTAGTAGCATTCAAAAAAGGTTACCAATCAGGACCAAAATAGTGGTGATTTGTAGTGCAATCGTCCCTCTGTTATGTCATATTTAACTATTTAATTTCATATCGTGACTATTTTTATTTTTTTTAAATCTCCATGCCATCACATGTAATTGTTAATTCTGTTATAAACTTTGCACATATTTCGACTATCCATGTTCAAAATGAAAGTATGGTTGATATAAGGAACTAGAATACAAGTCAAATTTAAAATAAAATTAATAAAATGATCAAAATAGTCAATTTAAGTGATACAATAGTGTCAAGCATCTTGTACTCAGATGACATGTAGTGACTTCTCCTATATGGGGGTCATGAGATCAAACTTCAATGGAGGTGTTGTTGACTCTTTGACTTTCAATAGGTTATATATATATATATATATATATATATATATATATATATATATATATATATATATATATATATATATATAGTCAAACTCTCATTCTGACTTTTAGTTAAAATGGAGCACATGCTTCAGTTATGATTGCATAATTTGTTTTATGCCCCGAAATGGGGACATATAGAGGATGAAGAATAATTCTCTTAACTAAAAATTATGAGTTTGATTCTTATCAACATCATCTTGATTGAACATCTTGCATAAAGACTTCCTAGCTAGTACAGTTAAATCACACATGAGCATGTTTATTTAGTACTATACACACCCAATAAAATAGATTAGATTCACAAATAATTACTTGACTAAAAATGATTTTGCCCTATCATAATACTTTTCATTAATTAAATTATTTTATTCTTAATTTCAGGTATGAAATTGTAGGAATTGTAACAAAGACAGGAAGCAATGTGAGCAATTTCAAGATTGGGGATAGGGTTGGTGTAGGCTATGTATCTTCTTCTTGTTTGGACTGTGAGCTCTGCAATACCTCAAGAGAGCACTACTGCGACCAAATGCGCCCCGTTTACAATAGTGTTGCTTCAGATGGTACTGTCACGTACGGAGGTTACTCCCAAATGATTGTAGCAGATCATAGGTAAAATCATTAAATTAGAGCATCATCATCAATGCATATTGTGGGGAGAATAGTACAACCTTTGATGACTTGGAAGTGAGAGAAGGTAGGAGAGAGAAATTTGAGACTCTCCTACAAGTGTGGGGAGAATGGCAGAAAGTGGGTCCCCATGCATTTAATTATTCCACTCCCTCACGCACAGCGTGAGGGCCAAAAAAGCAGCCCAGCGGGCGCGTGCCCGCTGGGCACGCCTATCGGCGCACCTGACAGCCACTAAAATATTATTATTTTTATTTTAAATTTCAGTTTTTCTTTTTTTTTTTTTTCTTTTTTTCTCTCCCCTCCCATTTTCTCTTTCCTAATCATTCTTACATTCTCCCCACATTATCTCCAATTGATGTGGATGCTCTTATACTCCCTCCGTCTCTGATTGACTTTCTCATTTGCTTTTTGCACGATTTTTAATACAACACAACAAATGTTACTAACTTTCTAATTTTGTCTCTCAAAAGTAGGTGTTATTTGTACAAAGTACAATTGTACTTATCCTAGAAATTTAAAAAAGTTAAAGGGGTAAATTAGAAAATGTAGAATGATAGTTATGTTCAATTTTGAAAAAATGACACTATTTTGGAACAAACTAAAAAAGAAAGTAAAACGGATAAAATGGGACGGATGGAGTAATAATTTGGAAGAGGTTTTCATGTCTTAGGAAATTAAAATTCATATTTGTTGTTGTTAGTAATGTTATATTTCACATTTATTTATTATGTAACATTAGAGTTGAATTAGTCCTATAACTAATAGCTATTGACTAGGTGTAGTTAGATAGGACTCTAATCTCTGTTATTATCTTTGTAACTTCTCAAAGTTTGAATCTACGTTAATCTGTTTTCACTCATCTGGTATCAACAAGCTAGGTGAACCTTTGTTTTCTCTCTCCCAAAATTATGTCAACAAACTCGAGTGAGCGAACAGTGACCGCCGGTACTCCGCCATCTTCCACCACCCCAAACACCCTTGAGTTGAATTAGTCCTATAACTAATAGCTATTGACTAGGTGTAGTTAGATAGGTCTCTAATCTCTGTTATTATCTTTGTAACTTCTCAAAGTTTGAATCTATGTTAATATGTTTTCACTCATCGTTGTTATGGTAAAATGCAATAAAGTTGGTCCTTAAGATAGTAGTGAGATGTAACTAGCAAATTATATCAGGGATCGGGGTTCACTTTGCCTCGTGAATCTTAATCTAAAATAACATTCAGATTATGTGTCTGAAGTTAGTAAATTGAGCGCAGATAATATATTAATTACATGCAAATAATATGTTAACTACAAATAATTATAGTTAACATATTATGTGCCTCGAATTTATTTATATGCACATAATTTATTAATTAAAGGCACATAATATGTTAATTGTAGACACATTTGGGGTGTTAGCTAAATAGTTGTTAGCTGATTGGGCTAGTGAGTTTGAATAGCTGATAACATTACCTGATTGTAGAAAGATCTTTGGTAATTAGCTCTTAGCTTATAGCTGATTACATACAAAATGATTTTTACAAAAAGCTGAACGAAAAAGTTGATTTTAACATCTTTTTAAATTTTAGTGATTTGGAACAATAAGCTGTTCAAAAAACTAATTAATCAAATACACCTATGAGTTGTTTTACCAAGTCATATTGTTATTAGTGGTCAAACAAGCTAAAATTGACTAATAAGCTAATTAATTAATCTGTGTAATAATATATGCAGGTATTGTGTGCACATACCAGAGAATCTGGCACTTGAGAGAGCAGCACCGTTACTAGTAGCAGGGATAACGGTGTACAGTGCTATGAAAAATAGCAACATATTTGAGTGTCCTGGGAAAAGAATTGGAGTGATTGGTTTAGGTGGTTTAGGTCACATGGCTGTCAAATTTGGCAAGGCTTTTGGGCACCAGGTCACTGTCATTAGTACCTCTTCTTCTAAGAAAGAATTGGCAATTCAGAGATTGGGAGCAGATGATTTTATATTGAGCACTGACCCAACACAAATGCAGGTCTGTTGAGCATATATAATATATAAATATAATTGTGTAATCTAATTATCAGTTTAGTCTTTTAGTTGAGATGAATCATATATATGCTTTAATTGTTTGATATTAGAGGAGACTATGGTGTATGTGTTGTTTGGAACCCGTCAAAAGTAATCGAGTTTTTATAAGTATGATTAGGAAAGAGAATATGGGAGGGAAAAGAAAAAAGAAAAAAAAATAAAGGAAAACTGATTTTTAAAGAAGTAATAATAATTTAATAATACTCTATCAGGCGCACCGACTATACGCGCACAACCTGTTTCCTTTCCTCTGACCAGGTTACTGTTCCAAAACCCCTTCCTAACAGATGAACCCAAACCCTCTCTCTCCTACTTCTCTCCTCAATTTGTTAGAAATATCTCCTAAATAACTACAGATATTGATGCTCTAATAATAGAAGCTTTACTTTTTGGGGATAATTGAATTGGTATCTACTTTCAATCTAACCATTGGAAATATGTAGTGATAGATAACTATCTTGCCTATGTTTGGTTATAGACATCAATATAGTTAAGATCCATATTCTAAGGTAGAATCAAGGACAATATATATGTTGTCTAATCAATTTAGGGAGTATTTGGTAAATAGTTGTTAGGTGATAGCTATTAGCTGATTGGTTAGTGAGTTTGACTAGTTGATACTTGATAGCATTAGCTAATTATAGAAAGATGTTTGGTAAATTAGCTATTAGCTGATAACTGATAAATATATAAAATGACTTTCTCAAAAAAATTGATCGAAAAAGCTGCTTTGAGCAGTTTTTTGAATTTTAGTATTTTAGAGCATTAAGTTGTTATAAAAAGTTAATTAATCACACTCATATTGATTGTTTAACCAAGTCAAACAAGTCAAAATTGACTGATAGGCTAAATATTTTATCAAACAATGCCTTAGTCTTTTTTAAAGTTTTTTTTTTTGTGCATATATTTTTTTGGCTCATTACATATTAAGTTATTTTAAAATTTTCCAGGGAAATAGAAGAAGTCTAGACTTCATTTTGGACACTGTATCTGCAAACCACTCTGTTGGACCTTACATTGAGCTATTGAAAGTAGATGGCACCTTGGCTATTGTTGGTGCACCATCTAAACCAATCGATTTCCCATCATTACCTTTGATATGTGGTAACATTCTTCGTTTTCCAATTATCTTTCTATTGTTTTTATTCAAAATTTTCTCCTTGTTTTGTTTGAATTAGAGGAGTTATAGTTTCTTTGACTTTGTGCAACACTCTTTGAGGATGGATAGAGTTAGATATGCTTTTCATAATTGTTTCTCACAAATTATATTCCATATTTATATGATAGTAAATACTCATTACAATCAAAATAAAGAATTAATTTCATTTTTGGTCCTAAATTTATTAGTAGTTCACTTTTAGTCTTTTTTTTTTTTCCAGAACATTTTCCTGTTTGATCATAGTATTATTGTGGCATGATCATTTTGTGTCCTCCGATCCGTCAAAAAAACCATTGAAATGTCATTGAATACAATGACATTTCTATCTTTTTTTTGTTTTTTTTTTTTAATATAAAGTGGGTTCACTTGCTATATTTTTATTTTTATTTTTTAAAAAATCATAATTGAACACCTAAATGTCCTTGTATTTTATGGAATTTAAACAATATGGATTTTGCTGATGGAAGACAAAAAATGATTATGTTACAATAATACTAGGACCAAAGGTGAATTTTTTGAAAAAAAAAAAAAAGACTAAAAGTAGATTGTCACCTATAAATTTAGGACTAAAAATGAAATTCACTCCAAAACAATTATGAGTAATACTGCATTTTGTTGCAAAAATCACTTCTCATATCTTACTTGCCATTATTGTATTTGTACGCTTTTGTGTAGTGTTTGATACTTTGATTATTATGTGAATTTGTCATTAACCTATGTGGGTCGGGTTGATCATATCAGTTCAAGTGTACCATATGGAAATAAAAAAAAGTTTCTTTGTTAAATTGCAACATCAAGGAGCTGAGTGAATGTTATTAAGTGATTTTTTTTTTTTTTGAAGATATTATTAAGTGATATTAGTAGGGGAAAAATTAGGGATTGAAATTTCAATTTGTCTAGCAGATATCCACCCAAATCCATCCTGAATGGGTCTTTTTTTTTTTTTTTTTTTTTTTTTTTTTTTTTTTGTAGTGGGTGGTGGGTCGGGATGAGTCTTAAAAAAGTAAACTCGCGGTGGGTCGAGTTTGATTCGGGTTTTATGTACAGAATCCGCCTAAAACTCCACCTGACCCACCATGTAGTTATTTATAAAAGTTTCTATAACTTCATGTAACTTTTTACTATTTTTATATCTAAACTACTAAGTTTATTTTTAAAAATTAACAATTCAGTTATTTTATTTAAATATTTATATTATTTTATGTTTTAGTATAACTAATGAATTTTATTATTTTATTATGTGTAAGTAATTTAAATATTATTTTTTTTAAAAAAAATAATACGATGATAAGTGATGGGTACCCGTAGTGGGCACCCACACCCGGTGGGGATGGAGGTGGATTTTAAAAAAGTTCACCCAATGCAGTTTGGGGGTGGAGGTGAGTGAAGAAAATATAAGGTGAGTCGGGTGATGAAGGTAGCCCTCCCGACCCATAGGAAAAATAGCATTTTTCATGAGTTGTTATATTATAGTGATAAATATCACTTAAATTAATGTTTTTAATGAACGTTGAGTGCAATTATGATGAACGATTATTGAATTTAGATATGCACATACACTTGATGCTTGATTAACATTAACTATTACACACACAAAAAAAAAAAAAAAAAAAAAAAAAAAAAAAAAAAAAAAACTAATTTTAAAAATTCATTGTTTACTTAACAGGCAAGATAACGATAAAGGGAAGCATAATTGGAAGTGTGGAGGAAATTAAAGAAATGATGGAGTTCTGTGAGAAATATGAGATCTTGCCAGAGATAGAGATTGTCCCTATTAACAAAATAAATGAAGCCTTTGATAGGCTTGCAAAGAATGACGTCAAGTTTCGATTTGTCCTTGACATTGCATCAAGCTAGGCTCTAATGGTTCATATTATTAGGGATTTGAGAGTTGAGCTGCGAGCGCTGGATTATTTCAGCATTACTTTATCTCTATGCTTGTGTTGTTTGGAATGTTTTCTGTCTGAGTTTGTGAGTTGTTTGGAATCTCTAGCTAATCAATAATCTACTTGGTGATGCAAATTTGGTAATAAATTATATTTTGTCTCCATTTTTTATGATGTCAAAACATAACACATAAAGATCGAGATTGAATTAATAAGGAGGTTTAATTGATTACACTCTCACCAAAACAAAAAGATAATTTTATTGGAGGTAACATCAGCCAAGTGGCTAAAGATACAAACATGTAACCATAAGGTCAAGAGTTCGAATTCAAACCATCTTGGTTTGAGCCGATCAACTATGGGTAGCCTTTGCAGATTTACCTCATTATAGTCTTTTGTCGACTAGAGTCACAAGATGAGTTTACACAGTGCACACCTTCAAATAGTGATTACGGATTTCCCTTATAACAATGTAGCCTATTGAGCGAGCTCTCCTTTTTGTATGCTAAACCATTCCCGAGTCTTCATTTTTGTATTTAAGTTACTTCTCGAAGTTATTCCAGTACAGTCTCATTAGCTCATCAAATTTCTCCTTTGTGTAGCCTAGACGATTGCATAACTTGAAGGCCTCATCCAATCCGCCCTTTTAAATGTTTCGAAAGCTTTTGAATTATCTTTGCCAAATCACCCTTAAGGGGGCGTTTGGTTCAGGTTATATTACATAACTAAGGGAATATAACATTCTACAGCTTACATTCCTATGTTTGGTTCATATTATCTGAGGGAATATAACATTCCCACGGAATGAAACATTCCCTCCACATAGGATTTTGAAGGGAATGAGATTTCTTTCATTTCTTAGGTTATGTAAGATAACCTTGGATATTTATAAATTTTGCCATTTTAATTTTAATTATATATATATATATATATATAGAGGGCCGCGTTCAGGTGTGAATAGGTGCCCAGGAGAGAAAAGCGAACCAATCATCGCGCGTGCCACGTGTCAGGATTAATTGATCGGGTGCACCTATTTTCACCTACAAGTACACCTACTTTCGCCTACAAGTGCATGTAATTTTACCTTGCTAACATTTATTGATCCGAGTTCGAGTTCAGTGGGTACTAGTACCCGTGAAAACCACCCGCAAACATTCATGCACCTAGGTGCAACTACTTATAACTATAAGTGCACTTAGTATTGATGCTCAGTGTAAATTTTACTTCCACCTATAATACATTTTACATGCACTTGTAATACATTTTACTTGCACCTCAAGCATGGCCATTAAGCAGATTAACGCTTCCTCATCCAAGGTGGATGAGGTGGAAAACTCGTTGGTCTTAAAACTTTAATTTCATCTTCTGACTCCTCACTAACCAATGACTCCAGAAGAATTTGCATTCGTTATAGTTTTCTAGAGAAAACACCGGAATCCAATCAGTTGGTGCCATTTTCAAAACATTTTAAAAAATGCTACAAATATTTTCGAAAATATGGAATCATTCCCGTTTAATCGATGAGAATGGAAGCGATTGATTATTCAGTTACAGGAAAGAGATAACCTTAATACACTTAGAGAGAGAGAGAGAGAGAGTTATCTAATAGGCTATTGACTAGATCACTAACAAAATGTACATAAATAAATACATAACAATAATATAGTCTAATACTCCCCCTCAAGCACAAGGTGTGTAAGCAACCACATTGAGCTTGTCACGAAGAACAGTGAACCGTGCTGCTGGTAGTGGCTTGGTGAAGATATCTGCAAGCTGATCCTTGGTAGACACGAAGTGAACCTGGAACTCACCAGCGGAGACCTTGTCCCGGACAAAGTGGTAGTCAACCTCAACATGCTTGGTATGAGCGTGGAAGACCGGATTTGCACACAGGTAGGTAGCCCCCAGGTTATCACACCACAGTGTAGGTGGAGCAGTAGGGCCTAAGCCAAGATCCCGTAACAAAGACACAACCCAAGTGACCTCAGCACACACATCAGCAAGACCCTTGTACTCTGCTTCAGTCGAAGAGTGAGCAACTGTACGTTGCTTTCGAGAGACCCAAGAGACCATATTTTTCCCAAAGAACACAGCATAGCCACTAGTGGACTTGCGATCTACCGGACAACCAGCCCAGTCAGAGTTCGAGTATGCATGTATATCAGAAGACACAAACGTAGAGATGCGAAGACCGTACTCCAAAGTACCCTTAACATAGCGTAGGACACGCTTCAGTGGGCCCCAGTGTTCGTCAGTAGGTGAATGCATAAACTGGCAGAGTCGGTTGACAGAGTAGGACAAATCTGGACGTGTGATGGTAAGATATTGTAGAGCCCCAGCTAAATGGCGATATTGTGTAGGGTTGGCAAAAGAATCGGCGGTCTGACACACAGGTTGAGTCACAAATGCTGGTGTGGCTAAGGCTTTAAAGTCAGTCATGCCAGCTCGCTGTAGAATATCCCGCATATAACTCCGTTGGGATAGAATCATACCATCCGGTACAGTGATGGTTTCTATACCAAGAAAAAACGTGGGTTTCCCGAGGTCTCGGATCTTGAATGCCGTCGCCAGTTGCCGTAGCAAGGAATCAACCAAGGCCGTATCACTCCCGAGCATAATAATATCATCCACATATACAAGTAGGAAGACCCTGGAATCGGAAGCCGAGTAGTGGAACAGAGACACATCTATTTTCGAAGCAACAAACCCTGTGAGAATCAAGAAATCATGTAGGCGTTTAAACTAGGCCCGGGGTGCCTGTTTCAACCCATAAAGGGAACGCTGCAAGTGACAGATATGATCGGGGCGATCAGGGTCTTCATATCCGGGCGGTTATCGCATGTAGACGGTTTTAGCCAGGTGCCCGTTCAAAAAGGCATTGTGGACATCCAACTGTCAGAGTGTCCACCCACGGGAAATGGCTAAAGCTAGTAGTAGCCGAACCGTAGTCGGTTTAACAACCGGGCTAAACGTCTCAAAGAAATCCTCGCCTGCTACTTGATTGTAGCCTTTGGCGACTAGTCGGGCCTTGTAGCGCTCCACTGTGGCATTGGCATTCCGCTTGGTGCGAAAAACCCATTTGCACCCTACTATATTCATGTCAGGAGTAGCAGGTACAAGTGTCCATGTGTTGTTGTGTAGCAACGCGTTGAACTCTTGGTCCATTGCGTCTCGCCACTGTGGGTGCCCTACCGCCTGAGAATAGCAAGTAGGATCATCGGTGGATGCCGTGAGAGCATGAAACTGCTCCTCAGTTCCCTGTGTCATGCGCCGAAGCCGCATGACATGAGCCTGCTCTTGTGGCTGGACCTTACGCCTACGTCTCTTGACCACGTGGGCCGGGGCCAGGGCCGGAGCCGGGGCCGGGGCCAGAGTAGTAGTGGTGGCCGGTGTTTGAGGTGAGTCCCCGTGATGCCGAACGGGACTGGACCCCCATGGTAAGCTGGGTACGGGCGAGTGCGTCGTTGACTGCACTGAACTGCTAGCTGCAAAAGGGAAGTTAGTTTCCTCAAAGCGGACATGACGACAGATGTAAGTTTTCCCGGTGTTTAGGTCCATGCAGCGGTAGCCCCTAAAAGACGGTGGGTAACCTAAGAAGACACACGGACTTGACCGATACTTGATTTTATGACGGTTGTAGGGACGGAGAGAAACAAAGACACCCGAATACACGTAAATATGTGTAAGTGGGTGATGACTGATGTAATCGGTAATAAGGTGTATCAAACTGTAGTGAGGCAGATGGTAATCGGTTTATGAGATATGTGGCTATCTCGAATTCGTGATCCCAATAACGGAGTGGGACAGACGCTTGGGCCATTAGGGCAAGATCGGTCTCGACAATATGCCGATGCCTACGCTCAACACGCCCATTTTGTTCGTGTGTATAGGCACACGACTGCCTGTGCACGATCCCTAAGGACGTAAAAAGTTTGTGCAATTTTTGGCATCCCCCCCCCCCCCCCCCCCCCCAAAATCAGACTGAATGGATTTGATAGAACGTGAAAACGTACGTTCTACCGTCGCCCGAAAAACATCGAATATTTTGTATATATCGGTTTTGAGTCGTAAAGGATAATACCAACAATAGCGGGTGTTATCATCTACGAAGAGTACAAAATATCGCGAGCCATCCGCGGAAAGAACAGGTGCGGGGCCCCAAATATCAGTATAAACAAGATCTAAAATATTATTGCTAGACTTGGCTACCCTATCTAGCGGGAATCGAGAGGATTTCCCAAGTTGACACGACGAACAAAGACCGGGGATTACATTTTTATTTGTTTCAACCGAGCATTCCCGTAAGACGCGTTTGAAGGCTTGATCATGTGGGTGACCGAGACGCTGATGCCAGACCGAGGACGAGGCACGAGCAGCGACGAACGCATTATGTGAGTTTGAAACTGACAACGAGTATAATCCCCCCGAGCTTGGACCTTTAAGAAGAACCGCCTGTGTGGTGGAGTCCTTCACAACAAAAAAACTCGGGTGAAACTAAAAAAAACAGTTATTATCTTTTGTAAAACGATTTACAGATAACAAAGAGACCGATAACTCAAGGACATGTAAAACATTAGATAATTTTAATGATTTATTGCCCAAAGGAATAACTGCATGTCCCACATGCGAGATCGCCAAACCTGTGCCATTACCCACTCAGAGAACATCATCCCCGTGATACTCCTCGGACTGTGAGACCACGCCGGAATCTGGAGTCGCGTGCGTGGAGGCGCCTGTGTCAGGTAGCCAGGACGTCACTGCCGACGTTGCCCCTTCGTCTCCAGTGACTGCCACGTGCGCCTGGGAGGGTGGCGGTTCGGAGTAACTCCGATAGCAGAAGGCCGCCGAGTGGCCTTGCAACCTGCAGATCTGATAGCGCAAACCGCCGCTCCGACCACGTCCGCCGCGTCCTCCTCTTATGGTTGCCGCCGCGACCTGCACCACCGCGGGACTGACCACGGCTGCCATTGCCATGTTGCCGTCCACCTCGGCCGGCATACAACGCCTAGGGAACACCACCCGTCGTTGCCGGCTGGTAGACCGGAAAATCATCCGCGTGGATGAATTGCTGTGCTTGTAAGTAATCCGCCAGCTGTGGGATCGTCACCGGCGTACCAGTGATCTCCAGGGAAGCTGCCATCGATCGGAACTCCGGCCGCAGCCC